ACATCTCACTCTGTGTACCTGTATGTCTCTAAGCTCCTGTATTTGAAATATCACTGAAATGGTAGGAAAAACCGTTGCAAAGCACACTTGTGTCTTCAACCCAGCTGGATCAGGAAAAGCCTGATGCACCAGGTTATAACAATTGAGACCTGGTAACACAAAGACTGTGTTCTAACTTCTCAACATGACATGAGAACATGACATTGACTAAAATCATCCACATTTTTCTAACCGAAAACCTTAGATGACAAGTACAGGCTGTGAGGGACAGTTCCCTGTACAGCGGTATCCAAGCCCTCACTAACTACAAAGGATAGAGCCCCCCCAAGCCCCAAAATCACCCTCAAACTCGCGAAAGAAGCTCAACACCTTCTTTGCTTAGGTTGAGGTGGACTGCTCAGTTTGCTCTCTGTGGACTAACGCTCAGCATTCAACACTATAAAACCAGACATCCTCATCATCAAACTGGACCATCTTCATATCCCCCACTACCAACTGCTCCTGGATCAAAGACTTCCTCACAAACCGGCCTCAATCAGTCCAACTCGGACCCCAAACTGGGTGTTTGGTACACAGACCACTACTGAGAAAAGCAAGGCTACGCAGAGGGTAATGACACTGCCCAGAAAAATCATTGGCTGTACTCTGCTACAAATTTTGTGGAGGGTGGCACACTGGTCTGGTGCTCATTGGTCTGGTCTAGAACAATGACGAGTGACGAGTCTGCATACAGACAGGAAATAGCAGTCAGAACCACCTGGAGATGAACCTGCTCAAGATTGTGGCGATATTGGATTGTCGGAGACCCCCCCACGCCTTCCTCCCTCTCACCATCCTGAACAATAAAGTATCCGATGTGGATCACGGATTTGAAGTGGTCCTCACATCAGTCTGTCTGGAACAAGGCCCAGCAGAGGTTGTATTCCCTGCAGCAATTCAGGAAGTTCCACCTGCCACAGGAGCTGATGGTCATCTTCTACACTGCAGTCATCCAGTCTGTCCTGTGTACATCAATCATTGTCTGGTTTGGCTTAGCCACGAAGCAGGACAGGGCCAGACTGCATCAGAGAGGATCCTCAAGCAGAAAACATCTCTGCAGATCCTGGACATAAACTGTTCTATTTTTACAAAAACCAGCCACCACTCAGCCATGACTCAGGTCATATGCATATTGTACTGCACAATCTGCACTATTCAAAATTAATACTTAAGGTTCATCCAGCTTGCTCTATGTTCAGCCTATTTATATCTATCATTCATGCCCAGCTGCAACTTAAGACCTTCCACAACTTGCACTTTTCTAACTTTCTAACCTCGTATTTATGTTCTCCTTCTGTATATATGACTTATTTGCTTATTTAAAAATGTTTATTTTTTGCATGCAGAGAGTAAAGCGAACCTGAGTCAAATTCCTTGTTTGTGTGCACAAACGTGGCCAAATAAAGACGATTTTGGTTTTGAATCAATGCATGCAACACCTGTTTCAGGTAGAGAAAGGCAGCAGTGTCCTCAAGATTGCTTGTTTATTTCTTTTCATTCAAAAGACCCTCAACAGCAGTAAATGTTTCTAAAATAGACAGTATAAAACTGTGGGTGATTATCTACATCCATCTTTTATACTGAGTATAGTTACATCTCCTGTTCCAAATGTATCCTGAGCTATGAATGGTTTCTTATTATCCTACAAAGTATCAACAGGCTTTTTCAGTGCAAAATCTAAACAATTAAATGAATAGATACAAAAAAATAGAACAAAAAAGAAATCTCAGAAATCATATCGACTTTAAATGTTGATGACAGGAATTTAAACTCCTCAACAGTTTACTCACAGTCACACAAAGAAATCTGTGAAATTGCACTTTTAATTCCTGTTTCCTGTTAATTGCAGTGTGGAGAGCAAATGATCAGGATACTCCAGTCACTCTTTTGTCAAACTTGAGCAGCAACACAACCATCACAGGGGCTTTAATGGGGACAAATAAAATGTGATAGGCTAAGATAACAGCCACTATACAGATAAGATTACCCAAACTGCTAATACATAAACTGTGCCTCTGGGCTGTTGGCTGAGCGTGAGGGTGGGCTTCCCTGCGCCACAGACGGACATCCTGCGCTGAGCGAGGACAGAAATACTTACAGAAGTCGTCCTCCGACAGCAGCTCATCGCCCATGACTGCTGCTCTTCAGAGCCGCTTCTACCGGCCCGGCTCCTCTTCCATCACTCGAGCCCGTTATCCTTCTCCAGCACAAGTTTATCCTGCGTGCTAACGTCAGTACATTTGTCAAGCTACACATGTCAAAACCAAAGAACCACCATATCCGGTCTATACCTTCAAAATAAAGCGAGCACGTCTTCAAAGCAGAAACGACGCTTCTCGGTCTTTTTCTGGCAGACAGCGAAGCGTGACATTCCCGTCACCAACTGCTGTGATCTATGGACTCAACTCACCATAAACCACATATTTAATAAACAGATAGATCTATCTAAAATAGATTTTTGGACTGATAGATTTCACTTGGGACCAGCTCCCAATTTGGATTCTGGAGACAGACACTATCTCTACTTTTGAGATCAGGGTTAAAACTTTTCTTTTTGATGAAGCATATAGTTAGGGCTGGACCAGGTGACCTTGAATCCTCCCTTAGTTAAGCTGCAGCAGGTGTGGGGATTCTGTGTTTCTTCTTCACTCACCTCTCTGTACTCAGTTATTAGTCATTATTAATCTCTGGCTCTTTACCAGAGTGTCTTTATCCTCTCTCCCCCTCCTCACCCATTCAGTAATGCCGATGGCTGCCCCTCCCTGAACATTGTTCAGCTACAAGTTTCTTCCTTTTAGAAGGTTTTTCCTTCCCACTGACTCCAAGTGCACGCTCAGAGGAGCGTCGTCTGATTGTTGGGTCTCTCAGTATTATTGCTCTGGTTTTACAGTGTAAACTTAGAGTTACATAAATAAAACTGAACTGAAATCAATATTGCAATTTTTAAAGCGTGTCCGAGTCATAATGGGGCTGTTTCCTCTCTGTTTCTTCCTGTTTCTCATGTCTCCTGCTTACTTTGGAGTTTATAAAACCATCTCCACCTCTCTTCTTCCTGGCATGGTTTTGGAGCAAAAAGGCAGCTGGTAACTGGCCAGTCATATTGATTCTGTAACGTGTTTGTTGAATCTCTATCTGAATATCTGGTGTGCTGTCTGAATGGCTATCCCACAAAATGACCAATAATGAATTTGAATCTGAACAAATGAATGAAGCTAATGATCTTGTGTGTCTTTAATCCACTAAAAACAGCTAAAAGGTACTGCAACCATTCCTCATCACTGGCCCAAGTAGAAGATCTCTCCTTGAGGAACAATTTAACCCAGCGCTGTTGTCATTTTAATTTCTATTGTGAAACTGTTATTAATATAAAATGACAAACTTCACACTACAGTCACAACAGTCCAAGTAACCCGCTAATCACATAAAAACTGTAAATTTGAAGCTGCAAGCAGCAAGTGATGTAATTTTATTGAAACACTTATTGTTTCATTACATTTTTTAATGATCAAATATACTTTCATTTTGCATTGGTTGACCATCACACCACATTAGCCAGTGTTTATTTCTAAAAAGGGTTTTTAAAAAATCGCTGTTGGGATGTTAACAAATTTTAACAAAGGTGCAAAAAACAATCGAAGAAATTTCAACCCTCACCTCAGCAGGATGATTATATCAGGCTACAGTATAACAGAAGGAAGCTACAGTGCAGCATGTGTAACACTGTTGATAAATGCTTCAAATGGTTTGTAAGACTGAAGACATAACAACAAAAGTAAATCATTTATCTTTATTTAAGCAATAGCAAACTTTATCAAAGAGTACAAAACTTCAGTCGATCTACTGTTATGAAAATATGCTTACAAATTCTGGAGGACACAAAAGTTACATTTCTACCACTAGAAAAACACGGAAGATTCTTCATTAATAATCAGTTCAACATTCAGACAGGGGAGAATGATGCACATACCCCCCATACAAAAGACAAGTATTAGAGAATAGTAATAGGCATTAGTGAGAGCTGCTCTAAGTGCGTTTCTGTGCAATATACAGTACATTAATGAAATGATATTACTAATGATATGAAAACCCTGTAAAGTAAAAATATTCCTTTATTTGCTTTATCAATGTTAAGAGTCTGAACAGATCCTTACCTACACCGTACATCTTCACCTTCACCAGTGACAAACACCATGACGGCGGTGATTAAAGTATAATTTCTCTAATAGCAACTTGTCAGCAAAAACTTCCCAATGAAAAGGAGAGAAAAAAGCTTCTGAGGTTCACAAATGATTAGAAATGCTTTTAGGCATTAACAGAAGTGCTTATTTGTAGCTGTATATATTTAACCTATATTTATATATTATATATTTAACCTCTTAGGACCTGCGTCCACATATGTGGTCATCACATTTTGGGTTGTCTAGACCAAAATACTAAATTTTGCTCTACAAGGGCCTGACATCCACTCACGAGGACGTCATCCTCCCACTGTTCTATCGAAATTTAAAACGGATGTCCTCATATGTGGATCAGGCAAAAAAAGAAATCAGGTAATTCTTTGTTTTTACATTCATCAGGTCCCAATGAACCCAAATAGCAAAGAGAAATTAAAAATGCTGCCATGAAAGAGTTCGGGTCTTAGGAGGCTAAAGTATTGATTCATCGATACTTTGTTAGTCCTCACAGCTCAGGTGAACAGAACCTTCAAAGACCTGCTGTGTACCAACACTTCTCCTGTATTTGAAACATTGATCCGTCTAGAAGAGCTCACAACATAAGAGATGACTGAAGCCAGATGCTTTGCTTCCAGTTTTTTTTACATAAATCCCTTTGGATAGCAAGAAAATTACATTAAGAAACATTAAAGGTGTTAAGGCACACAGACAAATCTGTGCGTAGCAAGAGTTCACACACAAATCCATGATTTATCAATATTTTCGTACCTGAATTAGTTTGCACCGTAGAAACAAATGAAGAAGTACCATGTGTACAAACAAACACAAATGGCTGCCGAAGGACATTTAATGAAATGAATACTACTATAACTAAAGCTACTATTAATAGTATTAAGAATTGTTATCGTTATTATTATTGTTGTTGTTGCTTTCATGTAATATTAACAGTTTTACAAAACACAACATGCTCAGTTACAATTAAATAAAAAAGTAAATCGTATGCAAAGAAAACAAAATACTAAATTGAAACATTTTTAATTGCAACATATTCCAGTTTTTCTTTGATCTTTTTTGTCTTTTATCAGTTTATCCTCCCTAAAATTATCTTATTGTTCATTTTTAAAAAAAGACTTCTATCACTTGCAGTCTAATTTTTTTGTTTGTTCATACAGTGAGTTTTGTCATGTGGAGCCGACAGACTTTCCAGCTGCTTATACTCTGTCGGGTCTTTTTACATCAGTTTCAAACTTTTTTTACTTGAGTCACAGTGAGTGTGTCTCTGCCTTAGCGGTGCAGGCGGCTGTCTCATGACATTACTGCATTTTCCACTTCACCTCCAGGTAAACTAATTTATTTATACAGGGAAATGGAGGAGTGGCTGTATGTTTTATGCATATTGCACACGGCAAGCATGAGCGTGCTGATTTAGAGTCTGATTTACTACCAAAAGTAAATCATTTATCAAACACGTGCAAGAACAAAATCAGCCAGTGCATTTGTTGCATAGGGTAAGACTGTTCCCACGCACATATTAGTAATGAGGGCCATTATTTTGTATCTACAAAAGAAAACACAGTAGTAAAAAAGTATACAGTAACACATTACTTTCCGCTGCAGAAAAACATCCATTAGAAATAATTCCACAAAAAGTTCCAAGTGCAGCAAAACCATCGACAATAACACAGTTTTGTCCATCAGACTATTCCAGCCATTCATTCAAACCCTCTTTAATACTGTTGCACACCACAAGCATAACGCTCAAAAACCTTAAAAGCACTTTGAGGTGACTGTTGTTGTGATTTTCTATATACAGTACTGTGCAAAAGTGTTAGGCAGGTGTGAAAAACTGTTATAAAGAACGCTTTCAGAAATATAAATGCTTGTTTATTGAACCCAAATGTATTCTGCAGCAGGACAACAACCCCAAACACGCAGCCACAGTCATTAAGAACTATCTTCTGCGTAAAGAACAAGAAGTACTGGAAGTGATGCTCCGGCCCCCACAGAGCCCTGATCCCAACATCATTGAGTGTGTCTGGGATTACATGAAGAGACAGAAGGATGTGAGGAAGCCTGCATCCACAGATCTGTGGTTAACAACCGACCAGCCGAGTTCCTTCAAAAACTCTGTGCAAGTGTACCCAGAAGAATTGATGCTGTTTTGAAGGCAAAGGGTGGTCACACCAAATACTGACTAGATTTACATTTCTCTTTTGTTCCTTCACTTCATTTTGTTGATTGGTGAAAATAAATGATAAACACTTCCATTTTTCAAAGCATTCTTTGCTGAAAGTTCTTCTCACCTGCCTAAAACCTTTGCACAGTACTGTAAATAAAGTTGAACTGAATTGAATCCAGTACAGTGTCCAGGTCAGGCCTGCACACCATGATCATGCAGAGTGAATAAGCTCATCATAAACGACCATCTGTGATGATACAGAATACCACTGGCCCTTCACTTTTAGGCAAATTGTATTTAGAGGGGTCTTTTTACATTTTCCATGATGTGACTGCACTATCACTGTCTAGGTAAAGGGTTTATCAGTTGGTCAATTTCAGTCAGTGTGTGACGTTCACCAACTCTTCCTTTTGCTTCCGTTTGTTGCAAATTTCAGTTTCTTGACCTCCCTGAGGACGTGGTCTGCCTTCTTCAGCTTCTCCATGGCCTCAGCCAGCAAATCCCCCGGTACATCCTCCTCTTCACTTCCATGGTCCTGGGACACTTTGCTCAAGAGCTTGCTCGTCTTTTCCATCTCTAGAGCCACTTCAGTCTCAAGTTTAATGACATCATCACTAGAACCCCCAGCACTCACAGCTCCACCTCTGCTAGACTCTTTCATCTGATTACAGACATCAGATTCAGACAGCAAATTTCCAATTGAGGCTGACCTGCCCTTGGCTGAGGGCTTGAGAGGAGGGATGGGTTTTATGTTCTTAGAGCTAACCTGAGGCACTGTTGTGACCTGTGCTGGTCTTAAAATAACAGATACCTGAATGCTGTCCTCACTAGCATCCACCACATCCAAAGCAGAATGGCTTCCCCTGAGTGCAGCTGTAGCAGCTACCAATGTGTCTTGACTTCCAGAGCCTTCACTCTCATCATCTGAGTGCTGACCACTGTCTACAGATTTCTCATCTTGCTTTTTTTTCTCCCCGGACAAGTGATAAAGCAGTGGACTCAGGGTAAGGCTCTCAGTGGTTGAGTCATTCAAAGAGGGGACTTCACTCTCGGCCAGTGCGTCTTTTGAATCGACAGAATTGAGTGAGGCAGTATTGTCGGGTCCCTCTTTAGGATTACTCTTAGCCGAGGTGCTCTCTATCCGCTGTATGTCAGGCTCGGCACATTCATCAGGCTTTTTGTTGAATTTTGGATGGGAACTTGGACTCTTTCTCAGTGACTCTGTGGGTATTTGTTCCCCACAGTCAGATACCACCTTTGTGTTGCTGCTAACTGTTTCTTCTGTGCAGTGACTCTCGTGTTTATCATCTTTCACATCAGGTGACGTTTCTTTAGCAATCAGCTGCACTGCCTCATCTGTTTCCACGGCTGTTTCTATAGTCTCCTTCCTACTTTCATCTTCCTTCTCATTATCCTCATTACTAATCCCTTCAACCTGCTGCTCTGTCTCAGAGCCAGAATGGGAGGGCTTCTTCTCCTTGGATGGAGGCATAGGAGGGTGAGAGTGTGGCTTGGACTGTAAAGCATCAACATTACTCACAGAGCTGGGTTTATTGGGAGGCATTGGTGGTGGAGCTGCCTTTTTACTGGCATCAGAACTTGTTTCAGAAATCTTCTCATGTTTTGCCTCTTCTGTAGTTTCTTCAACAGGTGAAGTAGAGGGTTTTGCTTCTTTCGATGGGGGCATTGGTACCTTGAAATAATATAGCAATTATAGCAAGGCCATGATATCCACAAAGACATGCACAAATGTTACAACATTTCACAATTACAATTTTTAGAAACATTTGACATACCTTTTTCTCTGAACCATCATTCTTTTGAGGTTCATCTTCATGTGCTGTGCTGGGTTTAGCCTCCTTGATAGGCGGCATTGGAGGTTTGATGACCTTTTTTTGGGGACTGACGTCTGGATCTGGCTGAGCTTCCTCCTCGGTAATTGACACCAACTGTTTCTCTTTGGAGGTCTCACTGCCATCAACATTGGCATAATGTGCTCCATTAGGCATTACGGCATCTTCAAGATCAAGATCCAAGCGCAGGATTCCATCAGATGACACATCAGCTACCTAGAAGAAAAATATACGATTAAATGACACAGAGCACACGGACAGGAAAGAACTGAGTAGAGTTCACCTAAGGGTGAAGCTCAGGAAATTTAAGGAACCTACAGGAACAAGATCAACGCCAAACTAGAATACCAAGGATTTGTGGAGTAGTGCAAATTAAATCAGTAGGTTCAAGGTGAGAGACAAGCAGTGGGCAAATAAGCTAAAAGTTTCCTGATGAGAATCTGTTTACAAGCCTCTGCTGCCTCCTCCATCACACACCCTTGCCTTCACAGATCACTACCCTCACTGGGTTTGCTATTCTCCTTTCACCCCATGTGAACTCTGTGAATTAGACTCCACCCCCTTATCTGATAAACAGTCCCTGCTTGATCGTGATAGCTGACACAGCGGTATTCTAGGGACCTGTACTGCTAGCCAACATGTTTAGAACCTGAGTGTCAAACAGGAGAATATACCAGTGTTTCAGATAACATTCACCTCATGGAAGAAGCTGTACTGCAGAATGGTGCACAATCTGCGAGGCTGTGCAGCCTTCTGCCTGAGGGAAGGAGGTGAACAGTTCATGGGCTGGGTGGAAGGGATCCCTTGTGTTGTTCAATTTGAGAACTATTTGCCGTATCGTACGATATCATCCACATACATAAACTAAGATTTACAAATGTGTACAGTGATTTGTGTCTAACTTTAATCATTTTGGGGGCAGATTTCAGCACTCTTTGTTGTGCCTTCTTGTCAGAATGGTCTCCACTACACAATAATAAACAGAAGTCAGCACAGCTGCACCAAAACCATGCTGCTTCAACCTCATTATTAAAACAAAACAAACAAACAAAAACAGCTGTTGATGGCCTCATGAGATATGCAGACCAACACTGTGAGTTGATGATGCAATCATCTTCATGATGCAGAGACCTTACTTTCATGTAGAATAGAATAGAAAAAAGTAGAAAAGCCCACAAACAAACAGCAACTGAATGCTGCAGTAAAGGCCTGCAGAGCATTAAAAAGGAGGAAACCAGCATCTGGTGATGTCCACGAGTTTAAGACTTCAAGCTGTCATTGCCAGCAAAGGGTTTTCAGCCAAGTATGAGAAATGAACATTTTATTTTCAGTTAGTTAATTTTTCCAATTACCTTTGAGCCCCTGAAATGAAGGGGTTGTCTTAAAAATGCTTTAGTTCTTCACATTTTGATGCAATCTTTTTGTTTAACCTGCTGAATTAAAGTTGGAAGTCTGAACTTCAATTGTATTTCTTTCACTTAAAATTCATTGTGGTAAAAAATGTCTTAGCCTTTTTAATTATTATTGTAATGAGGGCATAAATCAGAGGCAAGCTTTAGGAAAAGCAGTACACTAATTATTTTTTGACTCAGTCTTGTAGACATCCAGAGTTTCAGGAAACAAATTCATCAACACGTCATCAATGCCAGTCAAGTAACAAAATTGTAGGCCAACAAACTGACCTTAAAACTAAGGATATTTCCTTTATTTTCACTTTTTTAGTTCACAGATCGAGATTCAACCCAGAACCAGGAAATGGAGAGGATTATGGGTTATCGGCCTGGATCCGTTCATAGTGGCTTATTTTGTTCTGGGATGATCTGTTAAAAAACGTCATCCTTCCAAAACTGTCCTGAAATATGTCAAATCTAGATGATCAGTTTACAAACAGCTCTATAAAAGCCAAGGCACTTGTGACATATTTGCCTTTTTCTGAGAAAACCTTACATTCAAAAAACCTTTTTTTTAGTTAAATGTGAAACAGCAACTATCAGTGAAGACTGACATCAGATCAAATCATCAATACTCACACTGGGAACATTAAAGTTTTTCTAATCTCAAACATTTAATTTAATAATGGCAGAAACAATTGAATTCTTTATTATTGGAATTATAGAAAAAATGAAATGTTCATAAATAAGTGCAGAAAAACCTTTTATTGAATAAATCTGAGCAGAGGGTGGATCCACCTCTTGTCTGTTGCTCTCACAGGTCCATCAGCAAACTGTCTAATCTGTTCCTTCACACCTTTTCTCTTATATACATTATGTACATTTTGAATAAATACATTTAAAATGAATGTAAAATTAGGATTCAGCTTCATCTAATGAAAGTTCAAGCTGGCTGCATGATGATCGTGGATATAATAAAATGATACGTATTATGTCAGACTCATTCTGTCTGTGATGATGACAAAGTTGCCCAAGCTGATTAAAATGACTCTTTTTAAAATGACCCCCTAAGCACTGAAACTTGTTCATATTCCTTAGATCACATGACCTTAAAACTCACTTTTTGTTTACATGTTGCCATGGTGAATGATAATCACACTTAACTCATGCTTAACATCCTCGGAGCTAATTGAACTTGCTCTGATTGGCTGTTTTGGAACAGGAAACTCGGTGTTTTGCCAATGTCAGAGTTAATTAACTCAGAACATGCTTACAGAAACAGGAGCCTGCTTTTCTACCCCACCATGTAAGCCTCAGTAATTTCCATCCACTATCTGCGCTTCCTGTGATATGCAATGCAACCTGCCAGTTCTTCAGTGACATTCGGTAGAGTCATTTCCTTTCTTGCATAAGTACTGTGCCTTGTTGGAGATTGTTGGAGTCGCTCCTTTTTAGGTACTAAATTATTATCAGAGGGTGATACGTTGCTCTTACTCTCAGACATGGCTGGGCTTGTGTTATTGTTGCACAAGCAACGACATTGTGACAATATAAGTAAAATTGATATTGTGAAAAATGTATAACAATATTATCACAGGCATTATTATATGGCACAGCTGCAGTCAAAGCCCCTTACTACCATAAATAGTCAATATGATATCAAATCTAAATAATATAAATCTACCTAAAACCACAGTGACTCACTATTCTAACTCACTGCGGTTGGCAGCTTATTTTTAATGTACTGGGCCCAAACAAATAGCATTTCTATTAGAATATAGCATCCAGTGGCATACAGCATGGACATTTTTGATTTTAAATAACAGGTAAATCCTGGCGTTACTAATCACATTCATTCTGGCTCTGCATCTTAACACAACACAACCTTAGTAATGTAGTTACGTTGATTAGTTACGATGTGGGTTTCATGTCAGTTAATACAAATCAATCAAAGACCCAGGTAACCACGGAAGCAAAGTTTGTATTAAGAGCAAATTAAAACAAAAGACACGTTACAACAATACTACAAGCACTATTTCAATTTGACACGCACCTCTTTCATGTGTATCCTGGTCGGTGGACGCCGGTTGCGGTTCCCTTTGGGTCTTGTTCGAGTAACGTGCTCTAAGTTGCTGCTTTGATCAATCTTCACCTGTGAAAATAAGAAATAATTTGAGTTTGAAAACTACATGCTTATTAAAACCGAGACAAAGACAAGATTTAAGATAAATTTATGGCTCTATCGTATGTTTACCTCATCAAAAATTTTATTCTTTGCTCGATTAATGCCATCACTGAGGGCTTTAATCCAAGCCTCCTTGTCCTCCACTGTCTGAGCCTGGAATTTAACATCATGGACCTGTGAATGAATGAAGCAGACAATAGTCAACTCAAACTAAGGTAGATAATCGAACAGAAGATCTGCGACACAATAACAGGAGTATTGACAGTTTTTTCTTCTATTTTTAAAAACTGTGCTCATTGTGTTTTTTTTAAGAATAAGAAATAATCTATTTAGGCCACAGGCCCTTACGTATGAATTCTGGTTGTGCTTACTGACCATGAACCGATTTTATGTGGTACATGGCGCTCAAAAATCTGTCAAAAAATGTTTTAGTACGACTTTGCTAAGCTACCAAGCCGCACTGCTTGATGGATTGTTGGAGCGTTACGTCAGGAGCCTCACGGAGTCATCTGGGTCCAAAACTCCGTCAGCTTCTGTCTAAAAACTGAATTCTTTCATCTTTAATAAAATGATCAGCATTGCTGCTTTACCAGGTGTAACTATTAAGTTTAACATCCAGGCATCCATGAAAACAGAATTTATTAAATTTAACGGAGTTAGAAGTTAGCAGGAAGTTAGCTCGCTAGCTTTCACCTAAACATGATATAGCATGTTCTGACTGAGAGGTATCTGAAAGAATTCAAACGTACAGCTCTGCTATCACTTCCAACATAAATGAAGACAGAAAACTAAACAGCAGTGGCGTTTGTAGGGTTACTGAAGTTGGGCTAGCTGCTATATAATGATGTGCTATGTGATTGCTAGCTACACAGCTATGTTAGCATAACATAAACACAGTGAAGCTGGAGGATGAACGCTAACTTTTTTCCACTCGATAAAAGTTAACGTGACGGATTCTGGTGGTCAGGGTCAAATGCAATCACATAGCAGGATGCTGTAAACGGACCAAACTTCAGTCAGGAGAACAACTGAGATTATTCATCCACAATATGAGGTTAGTCATTAATATACTGCAACAACATGGGAACAGAGCAGCTGCGAGACAATTCAACATTAATGAATCAATGTTACGGAAGTGGAGGAAGCAAGAAGAATGACTGAGTAAAGTTTGACTTATCAATTTATCTGTTTCGCTTAATGCGCCTTATAATCCGGTGCGCCTTATCGTCCGAAAAATACGGTAGGTCTTCCCAGAGCAGAGTTAATAAACATGTGCAGATCAAAAGAACTCTAACTTCTCTAACTCCCAAAGGTTTTATTAGAAAATAGGAAATTTCCTGTAGGGAGTATGACTGTTGATGCTCGTCCCGTGACACTATGTCTGAGAACTGTGAAACCCCAAAAACTAACTGCAGCCTCAACTGTCATTCCTCTCGTCTGCCGGCTACCTTGATTTTCAGCCACTTATCACATTTGCCAGTGTCTAAGCAGTCCTTGATATCATTTTCCTGTCATATTCCTTCATCATTTATCAAATCAGCCTTTGGAGAACTGGATGCAGCTTCCAC